CAAAACAATCTCGGTTTTCACACATTATTTTACAGGAAAAATAAACAAAAACGAATAATAATACAGGGTGCGTAGCCAAATTATTCAACAAAAAATAAGCACCTTTTAAGCACTCTAATAATATTTTTAAGCACTTTAAAAGAATATCACAATTAGGTTGGAAAGTTTTTGACAATTGACGGTTTTATCTCGTTTTAGCAGTCATGTCAATAAAAAAAATTCTTTTGGCGTTGTTTTTGAGAATTGTCACAATTTTTGAATCATGTAAATCGAATGGCGTTTTCATAAGCTGCGGTCTGACGATGCGCCGAATTAGATTGGGGTTGAATTAATTGTGAAAACGTTGAATAGAACAATGTGGACAGTGTCCTTCTGCATAATTAGTAGCTAAAATAATCATGGTAAAGGAAAAATCTCAATTTGGAAAAGGGAAAATTAAGCACTTTTTAAAAACACGCAATGAAAAAAGTACCTTTAAGGACTTTTAAAAAACGAGAATCGAAAATAAGCATCTTTAAGCACATTTTAAAAACGCTACAGACCCTATAATAGCTCTTTTTAGGTGTAAGCATAAATTGTACTTAGAAGAATTGGAAAATCTGAGTTTCATAAAAATATTTCACCTTTCGTTTCGCAAAATCGGAACTACTTAAAATGATAAAAAAAAAATTTAAAAAATCAATCAACTGAAACACTTTGCCCAGCAGAAATAATTATCATCTCTGATATTTTCGATCAAAGATTGAAACTTATAAAAATATCAAACATAATCTTTGCTTAAGGTTAAAATAAATATATTTACAAAATCTTTTTGCCAGACAGGAATAATTAAAATTTTTTGCACTTTTCAATCAAAGATTGAAACTTCTAAAATTATCCCACATACTCTTTGGAAAAATAGGAATTTATGGAAAAGACAAAAATAAATTCATTTACAAAAACACCTTGTCAGATAAGAATGAATAACACACCTGATAATTTTTGATCTCAAGATTTTAACTTATAAAACTGACAAAAATATACCATATAATTTTTGGTAAAATTGGAACTTCTTAAAAAGAGTTTTAAAAAAATCATTCCACAAAACATTTTGCCGGGAGGAATAATAACTTTGATACTTTTTGATCAACGATGGAAACTTATGAAAGCATCCTACGTTAACTCAGATAAAATAGATTTTCTATAAGTAGGATTAAATAAATAAATCTGTAAATAACACTTTGTCAGATAGGAATAAACAACACCTCCTCTACTTTTTGATCAAAGTTTGAGACTTATAAACCTGATAAAATTATCCCACATAGTGCTTGATAAATTTGATTCTTCTTGTAAGGATAAAAATAAAAAAACCAATCAAAATTTTTAAAAATAATCATAAAAAAAATTATCAACACAACTTAATAACAAAATGACATTCTTCTGATACTTTTTGATTGGGAAATGGAACTTATAAAAGTGATAAAAAGATTAAACCATGATTTCTGGTTAAAATTCAAAATCTTTTTGAAGGGATAAAATAAATCATTCTTTAAAAACACTTAGACAGAAAGAAGTAACAATTCTGATACTTTCGGATGAAGGATTGAAACTTATAGAACTGATAAATACTGTCCCACGCAATCTTTGGTAAAGTTGGAACTTCTTGAAAGGATAAAATAAATCAATCTTCAAGAACACTTTAGAGGACAGGAAGAAAATAAGAATATTCATGCGAATAATCCATTTTCATTTACAAATGCGAGTGTGAGTACTTCTTACTTCATCTGTCTTGAGAAAAGCCAATTAAGATTACCCCCATGTTTCACCCAAACTATCGGAAGTCTTCTTAAGATTCAAGAAGGATCAACAGATGGGGCAGACAGATCTCGTATTTAACCGACATCCGGGAATTTTCGAGATGGAATTCCCAAGACGGATTTTCTCATCCGGACAGCAAAAAACTGCTTATCAAAGCCCCCAGATTCATCCCTATCTTTTTCTTGAAGAGGACATTTATAGGATATATTTATGCTCGGAATTTACCCTTTTTTTCCCTTGGAGAGTTACTCGAAACAAGAATCGATAGGGAAAAATGCAATGAGATAGGGAAGTAAAAGGCATAATTTAAGAAACTGAATCGGGAATCAAGAGAGGGTTTCCTGACTGATAAGAGGGTTCGAAATCATTGGTTCATGTTCTTATGCCGACCCGCCTTCAGCTTTCTGAAAGGTTAAAATATCGTTTGGGTCCTTGGAACTAGGCACAAGAATGCCCAAAAGGTTGAGAAGTGCTTTGAATGTGGGGACAATATATTCCATTATTAATGGGTCTGTGGTTTGCTTCGTATGGTGCTCATACGTTTGAGATTAAGTTAGCTTGACAACATAAAGTACATTTTTTTAAAAATAAATAATGGATAAACGAATAAATATTATGCTTAAATGAGAGTACTGTTCTAGAAACTGGGTGTCCCCAAAATGATCGACGATTTGAAAAATCAACAGTAGAAATATTAAAGAAGATGAGAATGTGCAGTTTATGTTTTGCTTGGGAAATCACTTTGTTCATTCAGACCAAGTTTTAAAGTTAATTACAAATTAATTCAATAGGTAGCGTTGCATATTATAAGAACTGTAAAGCGATAATGTTTCCAAATACCCATCATCGGCAGCAAGAACGTCGTGCTAATGACAAAATTAACAGACTTCCGTTCTACTAATTTAGTTGTCTGATATGCATTAGAAATTTTGTTTTATTTTTCTCCAGACAGTGACACCATTAGTTGATGACATTGTAACTAATTTTTTAACTTTGTAAAATGAAACACTTCGTTTTCTAAGCAGAACAAATTTCTACGGTTTTTCTTCATTTTTTTCTTTAACTGTTTCGTGTCCTAAGCAGAACACATTTCTATGATTTTCTTCCTTTTTTCTCTAACTGTTTCGTTTCCTAAACAGAACACATTGATATGGTTTTTCTTTCTTTTTTCTTTAACTTCTTCGTTTCCAAAGCAAAACATATTTTTATGATTTTCTTCCCTTTTACTTCGTTTCCAAAGCAAAACATATTTCTATGATTTTCTTCTTTTTTCCTCTAACTGTTTCATCTTCTAAGCAGAACAAATTTCTACGGTTCTTCTTCCCTTTTTCATTAACTGTTTTGTTTCCTAAGCAAAACAAATTTCTAAGATTTTCTTCGTTTTTTTTTTCTTTAACTTCTTCTTTTCCAAAGCAGAACACACTGATATGGTTTTCTCGCTTTATTCTTTAACCTATTTTTTCCTTAAACAGAACAAGTTTCTATGTTGTTTTTTTTCCTTTTTTTAACACTGTGTTTCTTATAAGCAGAACACACTATACGATCTTCTTTCTTTTTTCTTTTAACATAATTTTTAATTCAATTATTTTCGTGACTCTTAGTATTATTCATGTTTATTTTAAAAAAAATAATTTTAATTCAAAATAAATTACTGCTATAATAGAATCCATTGCTCATTATTCACTTCAATTACTTTCAAACAGAAATGTGGTTAAATGTGTACATTAAAATATCGGTATTGCAAATATGGAATATTCAAAGAGAAATTAGCATTGTTAAATTACGTAAAAAACGTAAAACACAAACTTGATAACAAACAAATGTATTTTTAAATTTGATTTGCTCTCTCATGCTGCATAGGCAGTTGTTCAATACATGTTCCAAAAATTTATATCAGTGTATTATAAGTACATTACCTTAATATTCCAAACGATTAATGAAGTGGACTAGGCCTGCACACCCTTGTCTGACGAGCAGCAGTGATTGATGTTAGTTCGTTCAGTGCTGAACTCCAGGCAATTTCATTTAGAAAACGGCCTAAACTTCTATCAGACGAGCTTAATTAAAAAAATCGTTTTCATAGCAAGCTTCTATTCATACTATCTCGAAGAAACTTTCGTTCTATTTCTTATTTTTCTTTTTTTTTTAACCAGTCGGTTATGCATCCTCTTCAGCGCACTCTTTCAATTAAGNTGTTGTTGTTGTTGTTGCTAATTCCCATCTGGTCTGACGGGGTCAGACCAGATCAATGAATCCGTTGACATTCAGAAAATCCGAAACCAGAATGGGAGAGGAATGAATGTCATTCCAGTCCAGGGCTAAACAGTTCAAGATGTGCTCAGGTGATGCCTGGTTTTGTTGGCATTTAGGGCAAAGAGGAAAGATTTTTTGATTTGCAGAAAATGTGAGATAAGAATATTTCATTATAAATTCTATTCGTTTTAAAATAAAATGCAATATTTTGGAAGGGTTTGAAAATTTAAAAAAAAATTCAACATCGAATAGAACATAAAATAACTTTAAAAACATAATTTGTCCAATATTCATTATAAAAGTCATTATAATTCTAATTCATTAAAGTATCTAATAAATTAAAATACAAATGATATCCCGTTCCAAAAATATCAACAAACAAATACAAAATAATAAATTTTGACCTTTGCAATTTTAAATTTTACATTTTAATTACAAAAGCATTTTTTTTCAAAATTAAGGTTAGAACATGAAAATACTGAGAAATTACAAAATGGGTGTATATTACTAAATTTAAATATAGGGTATATTTCCAAATATTTATCGATCCTTTTCACAAATAATCGTAGGATTTACTGCCAAATAAATCAGACCCAACATGGTTTATTACCAAATAAACCTACAGAGCATATTTTTCAAAGGTATTTTTAGGATCAATTATCAAATATTTTTATAGAATCCATTACCAAATAAACACATAGGATAGATAGCCAAATATACTCATAGGTCTATTATTAAATATACAAATAGGATCTATTTTCAAATATACAAATAGGATCTATTTTCAAATATACAAATAGGATCTATTTTCAAATATACAAATAGAGTTTATTGTCAAAAGGCAACTCGACATAATTAGAAGTTTAAAATTTTTTCATCTGTATTGTAATTATTTGCTGCGAAAAAAGATATAAACGTAAAATAAGTTATATAGAAAAGTAAAGAATTACCTAGCTCCAACCAGTAAGGAGTCTCCATCCTGCTCTAAAAGTTTAAAGTAATCGCTGTGTGATTCATTTCCTAAAAATCTTTGAAGGTCAGCTTCATCTGAAATAAAAAAATTATATTTTAGTAGAGTTTTAATAAATTAATGCTAAAAAGTTATCGTAAATACAATACTTAATAAATAAAAATTGATTTACTAATACGATTTATAACTACATTTTTAAAATATTTTTTTTTGATTACCTGAAACAAAAATCGATAATTGATTTCAAAATTTTTCCGATGGAATTTCATGAAGCGAAACTCTGGAAATTCCAACGCATTATTTTAGAGCTAAATGTACAGATAATAAATGCACATAAATAAATTTGTTAACAATAAAATATTTTGCATTTGTTTCTTTCATATATAGAATTGACAAACCAAAAAAATTCTGAAAAAACAAAGAACCGAAATATGTAAGTATACGCACATTTTTAGACATGCTGGTGCAAATTTTCTTAAAAGAATTTAAGATTATGTTATAATATCGCTGAAAAGAAAGCCATATTTAAAAATGTTAATTAAACCCAATAAATAATGACTAAATAAAAAAATTAATAATATGTTTGTTGATTTAATTATAAACATAATATTTTCCCCCTATATTTAAAATTTTAAAAATATTCATCTGTTTTACTTTATTTAATAATAATTAAATTTTTTCATTGGCAAATTACTCACAACATTGTGGAATAATTTACACCTAATATCGTGGAATAAATTTTTGATTATGCTGCAAAGAAATTATTTGAATAATTAAAAGGAATTGCTAATATAGACAAATGGTATTTGTATCACAAAAGATAATGCACCCTTTATATAAAACTCATAGTGATATAATTGAATATATTAAATAATTTTAATAACTATAATTATTTATTAGTTGTTATAACGAACAAAATTTTTCTTGTGTAGAATTTTATTTAAATTGTTTTATTCTCGACAAAATACATAAAAATTAAAAAAAATTTAGAGCTTAAAATTAATCATTGCTGTACTGTATAAAATACGAAATAGATAACATAAACAAAAATTATATTGAAAAATGTGAATCGCAAATAGAAAATAGTAAATGATAACTCCAAGAATAAAGAACGCCAAGTTTACGCCATGTCTCTAGACTGTCAAAACACCCTGACCACAAAGTCTCCTACCATTTGGCTCTTTCTTATCCTTTATCTCTTTCTTAAAAGAAATAAAGATGAGAATTCTTATAAACTTTTTCTTTTTCATCCTTTCCATTTTCGACACCAAAAACGTGACCTCCTTCGTGACGCTTTCGAAAAGGATAGGGCGACAAAACGAGAAAAAAAGAATAAAAAAAAATTCTTTGGCATCTTTGGCGAAGGAAGAAGAAGCAAAGAAGATGACCCTCATCAAACAAAGTAGATGATCCACCTCTTCGTCTCAAGTTTTGATGACCACAAAACTGACCCTTTCATTCGCCAAGCGCCTGGTGGAACATTTTCTGTAAAGTCCATCCTTTGTCCAAGTGTTGGCGACGTTTTCATTCTTTGAAGTATGATGCATGGCTTTCAATTAGTTTCGTAAAAGATTGAATGAATTGTAGCTGTCTTGGAAAATATGTTTTTTTTAAAAATAAAAAGCAATTTTATAAATTAAATAAAGTATTATCCAATTCATTTTTATCTTGAAAAAAAAATATATAAATTTTTATTTTAAACATAGAAAGAAAAAAAAACAGTGGAAAAGTATTTTTCTAAGAAAAGTTCTAGCGATAAGTTATTAGGTTTCCAAGACAGGAGAGCACAGTTTCATTTTTATAGTTGTTCTAAAGCTTTTGTTTTAAAATTCGTTCGCAAAGCAGACATAAAAATTTAGTTTCGTTTCTAATAATAACCTATTCAACTCGAAATAAATATAGAATCAAATAAAAATAAAATTAAGAATTTATAAGTTCAAGTCTGTAATTTATAAAACACAAATTTTAAAGTTTGTGATACTCGTTTAAAAAAAACAATTATTTAAACAATCACAAATATCTAATAAATTTAATATAAAAAAAATACAAAAACAAAATTAAAAGACTATCATTTTTAAAAAAATCACTAATATTCAAAATCGTGGTACTTGTCACAAACAATGTAAATATTTTGAATAAAATATTGTTCAAAAAGTTAATACAAATTAAAACTAAAAAGTTTTATTTCTTTTAATGTTCTAAAAAGTTTCTGTTGTTGTTGTTGCTAATTCCCATCTGGTCTGACGGGGTCAGACCAGATCAATGAATCCGTTGACATTCAGAAAATCCGAAACCAGAATGGGAGAGGAATGAATGTCATTCCAGTCCAGCCCTACACAGTTCAAGATGTGCTCAGGTGATGCCTGGTTTTGTTGGCATTTAGGGCAAAGAGGAAAGANGTTCTAAAGCTTTTGTTTTAAAATTCGTTCGCAAAGCAGACATAAAAATTTAGTTTCGTTTCTAATAATAACCTATTCAACTCGAAATAAATATAGAATCAAATAAAAATAAAATTAAGAATTTATAAGTTCAAGTCTGTAATTTATAAAACACAAATTTTAAAGTTTGTGATACTCGTTTAAAAAAAACAATTATTTAAACAATCACAAATATCTAATAAATTTAATATAAAAAAAATACAAAAACAAAATTAAAAGACTATCATTTTTAAAAAAATCACTAATATTCAAAATCGTGGTACTTGTCACAAACAATGTAAATATTTTGAATAAAATATTGTTCAAAAAGTTAATACAAATTAAAACTAAAAAGTTTTATTTATTTTAAAATACTTAAAATCCAAATATTTTTTTAAGACAATATTACAAATGATCTGACAATTTTTTTAAGTTTTCATTTTATTTTTCAAGTAACAAATTTTTTTTAAAAAATAAAGTTCTTACAAAGTATTTATTTAAGTACAAAAATTTTGTTTAAATAATGGAGTATTTTTTAATAGTTTTTTAATTAACACGTATTCTTATTTAACTCCAAATATCCATTGTAAAACAGATTAACAGTTGTAAGAAATATATTCCATCTTCATTTAAAACGAAATAACAAAACTAAGCCCAATTAGGATGTCAAACAAATCAAGCCTTTCATTACTTAAAGCGGAGAAAAAATCTCATTTTGTTAAACAACTCCCCTAAAACACATCATTTACGTTGTCGAAAGGCTTAGCCAAAGTATAATAAGTATTAAGTACTAACCCTTTTGCACAATTGAGAGAACCGGTGTCATTTTTATATCTTTTTGTTTGACCTCAAGTAGAAGCAAAAATATATTTTAGTATTTTTTAATTATAAAAAGCAGTCGAATTCTGAAAGATTCTCAGAATTACATTTGTTCTAAAATATAAAATTCAAAAAAAAGTAGTTTAATTTTTTTTCCATTCATACTTAAAATTTCATTCATATTATTTTTTCATTCATATTCATTATTAATAATTGATTTCGTAAATTAAAGAAATTTCAAGGATGAATAACTGTTTCTTTTGGATCAAGATTACTGCAAATAAAGCTATATTCATACTATATTTCATAACCATAAATTATTAAAATACTAAATATAATATTCTGCACCGATTTTAAAATAAATTATTACAACATTATGAAAAAAAGTATGAAAAATATGTTTAATAGAAATTCTGTGTCAAAGGGTTAATTTATGAAATTAATACAAGTACAAAATTAATAAAGATGTAATATTAAACACGGCAATATTCAATTAATTTACTCGTCGCCAAAATTTTATTTCGTTAAAAATACTTGTTTCACAAAACAAATATTTTTAAAAAAAATAATATTAATTAAAATAGTAATATAAATTAAATAATATAAATTATTAAATTACTAAATATAATATTCTGCACCGATTTTAAAATAAATTATAATAACTTTATGAAAAAAAGTATGAACAACATGTTTAATAAAAATTCTGCGTCAAAGGGTTAATTTATGAAATTAATACAAGTACAAAATTAGTTAAGATGTAATCTTAAACACAGCAATGTTAAAAATTACAATTAATTTACTCGTCACCAAAATTTTATTTCATTAAAAATACTTGTTTCACAAAACAAATATTTTTAAGAAAAAATAATATTAATTAAAATACTAATATAAATTAAATAATATAAAATATTAAAATACTAAATTGAATATTCTGCACCTATTTTAAAATAAATTATTACTACATTATGAAAAAAAAAGTATGAAAAATATGTTTAATAAAAATACTGCGTCAAAGGGTTAATTTATGAAATTAATACAAGTACAAAATTAATAAAGATGCAATCTTAAACACAGCAATATTAAAAATTACAATTAATTTACTCGTCGCCAAAATTTTATTTCATTAAAAATACTTGTTTCACAAAACAATTTTTTTTTAAAAACAATATTAAAATTTGTATACTTTTTTTTTATTTTGTATATTTTCATTTAATCCTCAATAATCATTTTTTAACTGTTGTCATGCTCCGTCAAACGATTATTCCAAACTTAAAAGATTAACAGTTGTGAAAAATATATTCTTCAACTAAAACAAAATAACAAAAAAGTGTCTACTTTGTATGTCAAACAAGTTAAGCTTCTTAATGGTTTGACGAGGAGGAAAAAACCCTTTTTATTGCTTTTACAACTTCCCCAAAAATTACATCATTCACGTTTATGTCGACAGACTTAGACATCGACAACTTCAATTAACAAACCGATAAAAGAACATCTTTTAAGTAATTTATTTTAGATTTAGCATATATGACCCTTCTAAGAAGAAAAAAATGCAAATAAAAAAAAGTTTTAAGCCGCAGTTGAGGACAACTTCAAAATGATTGACGTAAGACAATAAAAACCAATCCTTAGGATTATGCCCCGCAGGCAATGACGCACCTGGACCCATCTACCGGTCATTCTCCGAAACGGCTCAAGAAATTATTGGCAGAGATTTGGAATACTTAACTCGGGCATTAATTCCTTCGATATTGATTGTTTTTATCATTTCTTCCGTTGTTTTAAATTCTTGGCGGCGAGATTGTGGTAGTTCGTAAATTGTCTTTTTTTTCTTCTTCCAACTC